GTTCAATCCCTGGTTCCATTAAAAAAACAAAAAAGCACTTTTTTCCCCCAAAGACATTCTTTCCTCCTAATGTACCCCAACTTAGCTTTTGTATAGTTTTCAAGTCAAACTCATCTGTGTACCAGTGTGGCTTGCACCTAGATATCTTCTCAAAGGTTTATGGACTCGGCAGTGGGTTTCCGGACGATGGCTGGATCATGGTGCGTGACAACAGACTGAGGGGGTGTGGTATGGATTAATCTACTGACTGATTTAGCATAGCTCTGGGTATGGCCAAACAGATTTACAGAAAGGAGAATCCCACCCTAGCTGTGGGTGCCACCAACCAATAGGCTTGTAGATTGGATGAACTATAAAGGGATGGAAAGAGGCAAGTTCACTGCTTGTTCCCGCCTTCCTGCACTAGCATGGACTGTTCCTCATCTTTCGTGCTGCCCTGCCTCGGAGCCACTGGCTGTGAACTGAAACCTCTACGAACGGTTATCTAAAATAAACCTTTCCTCCTTTAACTTTGTGTGTTGGTTGTTTTGCCTCCGCAGCACAAGAAGTAACAGAGAGTACCTAGGCTGGTTTCCTCTGTCCACACACTGCACCTGTGCTCCGCAGCAGTGTGCATGCACGCTGGTCACATGGGAAGCCTGGAAAACACCAGTGCTGGGGCTCGCGTCCCAAGGCCTACGATGTGGTGCATCTGGGGTTATACTGTGCCGGGAGCAAACTGTTTACCTTAAAAGCAATTCTGATCTGCGGGCAATTTTGAGAAGCTCTGCTTTGCTGCATATATTATTGATATTACTGTATTTTGCAATTTGGGGGAAAATTTCTCTCCCCTTATCATTTCCAGCACTTGTTTTCAGAAACTACTCATACTCAAATTGCACGTGAATTCCTATATCTATGGAATGTGATTTATCTGGTACACAGAGTGCTCTATAGGACACTGGAAGATCCAAACTCCAAAACTATCATCTCTTATTCAACAAGAGCACCACCAATTATGAAAAGATGAGGTAAGGGAAAACATAGTTCACCATTGCTTGGATCTATTAAGGTTATTGTGGAAATAAAAATAAGGTGGCGCGGAAAGCCATCTTGAGCCTAGTGATGCTCATGGAATCAAGACCATTAGTAAAAGTTTGAATTGGATTAGAGACACGGTTTTTGACAGAAAAAAAGGAAAATGGTAGATGAGCAGAACAGGAGAATTCCTCACGAAATAGAACAGAACAAGGAAAGGCTGGTGATAGAAATGTGTAAAGCCCATCAGGAAATAGTTCCATACAATTTAAGAAGCAACTACAGGAGAAGTGGCTGATGAAGATGGAAAGCTGAGAAGCTGTAGAGGCTTTCAGTGTTTTGTACCCAAGCACAGACTCCTTCAAAATTTCCGAGTAAAGGAATGATCCACTCGGATGTTTGTGCTTCTCAATGATCAATCATTGTGATTATCTTGAAGCTTTTAAAACTACATTTGTACACATCACTTGCATTATAGAATTCTACAACCAGATTCTTTTTATGCTAAATAAATCATTTAATTATGTGCTCAGAGTACTCATCAAGAACTAGAACCCTAAGGAAGAGAAATACAAGTCTTATCTGTGCTCAGATGGTAAAGTATTTCTTTGGCTCAGGTGGGAAAATAAATGGAGATGAAATTGTATAAGACAGTCCTAGTTTCCCCCCAAAAAAATGTGGCCTAAAAGATGGGTTGTTCTTTGGGAGAATTTCAAAATAAAGAAGAGACAAAAAATTTCCTTCACTTTAGGTGATTGTCTTCATTGCAAAATGAATTATTTACTTTAAAGTCCAATATTGGGCCAGCCAGATAGCTAAGCAGACTAAAGCACTTGATTAGGCAGAGCACAGTGGCTGGGATTCAATTCCCAGTATGCCGTGCTGGCCCAGCCCCCGGGGCACACTGAGCGGGTGGATGAGACTGGCAATGGTGGTGCGCACCTGTAATCCCAGCTCTTGGGAGGCTGAAAACAGGAGGATCACTACAAGTCCAATCTATGTAGTGAGACCCTGTAGACACTGTACTAAAATAAAATATGATATAATCCAACATACTACCTTTATAGTAAGATTTACTTCTCCATATTGGCTCTGATAATACATGCAAAATGTGTTGCTTAAACCATCTGTGGAATAAATATTAACATGGTGTGATATTTGTTTAGAAATTAATTCTGTCAGGATAGTTCTTAGTAGACAGGCCAATATGAAACTCACCTATGTGTTGCCTCAGGAAGTCTCATACTTCCCTATGGAGTCATACTAAGTGAAATTTTAAATTTTAAATATTTTGTTGGAGTTTTACAAATAATAAAACAATTGGATATATAACACATAATTTAAAAAAAAACCTACTGCAACCAGTATTTAGAAACACTACACCTCTCTCGTATTTTAACTTAACTTTAATCCTGGATTTGTGAGTGTGGGTATATTATTATGTAATATCACAAGGAGCAGTGCTAAAAGTAAAAAAATTCAGATTTTTACACAGACATTAAAACTTAAGAAACATCACTTAGGGTGCAGTTACACAACTCAGCACTTACCTTTGCCAACAGCATATCATGCTATTTAAAAATGATATGATGAAAAAAACCATGACAGTGTTCCATGTTTCACTTAAAGTACTAATACTTTATGTTCAGGTCAATTGTAGTTGTCACACATACAGATTTTAGTCTTCTAATTATGTTATCCACTTTCAAATGTTATTGAAAAGAAAACCAAAAATAATTACGTGAATTCTCAAGGGAAAGACTGCCAGTTGCAGCCAAGTTGAAATGAATATAATCTCTTTATGTACGCTGATCACAAGAAAACACTCTGAATCAACTGTAAAAGTTATGTCAAATGGCTCTAAGAGATGAAGGGGGCAGGTAGGCTGGCCAGGGGCCTGATGACATAAGAAATGACATGATAATGAGTTCCTGGTTTGTTTGTGTTCTTCCAGAGAAGCCCTCAGTGGAGCAAAGTGTCAATATGGACAACAACAACACAACTCCCAAAGTCAGGTGTGGTGGTATTTGCTCAAAATCCCAGCAATCTTTGAGACTGAAACCAGAGAACTGTGAGTTCAAGGCCAGTATTGCAGTGCAGTGAGCTGGAGAGACCCTACTTCAGCATACAAAAATAACAGAAGGGCTGATAATGTAGCTCACTGCAGAGTTCCTGGGTTCAATTCCTGGTAACACACACACACACACACACACACACACACACACACACACACACTCAAAAAGAAAATGCAAAGGACTAGAAAAAGACTGACACCATGCAACCTAGATCTTTTAATCAGATCTGTCTGTTCTGGGAGTGAGGACAACAAAATGATCATGTAGATCTCGTACTCAAAGGATGGTGCACAAGCATGCCAGTGGGAAACCTTTATCCTCAGTGGGATCCATGCCACCTATCTTCTACCCCCACTCCCTCTGCAGCTAAGAGAAACCCTCTCTGGTGGTGCCTGTGGTTTAAAGTGTTTCCTAGGAAGTAACCAGGAGATTCCTTCTCTGGGCAGAGCCTAGTGCTAGAACTCTTCTACTCACTACTGCGTCAAGGCAACGGAAACATTCTCTAGAGCAGAGAGTTTTGGAGAAAGAGTATGACCAGTACGAGGTAGCTGAGAGTGTCTTTTTGAGAATGGACCTGTTTTATGATGATTATGATAATTATCATCTCTACATGCGATACAATTTCATAGAAATGTAAATGTTTCCCAAAAAACCAAAGCTAGAGAAAAACACAAATAAAAGTAAGTGAGTTAATAGGATTGCTCCAAATTGCATATTTTAAGAAAAAGAGAAAAGCAATACACATGTAATTTATATAGTTATATGATAGCATGCCAGCTATTCAATTCTAACTTACTTCAAATGTTTGCCTCTTAAATACCTGGGAACCAAAACAATAAATGCTGTATGTGACAAATATGATCAAACTTTACAAAGTTCTGCTTTTCCCACTTAAGTAGATTTTGTAATGCAATTATTAAACCAACTATGAAGAAGAATGACTCTTTTCTCCTGACTCTCAAAATTTGGGTTCTTAGTCTTAAAAGAGTAAGTATTTGAAAGTAGAAGTTGCTCTTCACACCTGGATAATGCTCCTTATGGTTTACATGGTATACTTTCTGGCATACTTAGACTAGTCATAGCCAGAGAACAGTTCAGCATAAGGTCATCCACACAGGGAATGGATTAGGGGCAAAGTATGCCTGCAAAAGCTGTGGAAGGCAATGCTTATGAGTGCTAAAGTCTACAAGTTGAGAAAGGGAATAATAGAATTATACACAGAAATAGTGTTTTGGTTTTTCTGCCACACCTTTTGTCTAAGCAAAAGAAAGTTCTGCCATCATGACAGAACTTGTTAACTCATGGCCAGTGCTACATGTTGACATCTCCTTTACAGAAGGCACCGTTAGGGCCGCGGAGATGGCTCAGTGGAATAAGCGCTTCCCTGGCAAGCGCAAGGGCCTGAGTTCAATCCCCGGTTCTGCCAAAAAAAAAAGAAGGCACAGTTAGAAGATGAGACAGTTATGTGGCCTCCCACAGGCCATAATGGAGGTTACTAAGAGGCTCAGAGTTATAAAATAGGCCCTACATTTTGCATTAAGAGCCTGCGTTTTCACAGGTAAATTAGATGACGCTAAGAAGCTAAACTCTGAACACTTCTTTGAGTGAGCCACAACTGCTTCTAGAATAGCAGAATAGCACCTCTTAGTAGCATGGCTGGTGGCACAATGTTCTGCCCCCACAGCCCTACTCAATGTGCATCCTGTTTAGGGATCTTTGTTCACTTTAATTTCTTCTCAAGTAGGTCCAAAAAATTCAATAAAATTAAGTTACCTGATAACTTACAGATGAGAAGAACTATGCTATACGCTGAACCAAGGTTCTTTAGCCTAACCTTGTCTACAAATTCATTCAAGGGGAAAATGATATAATTAAGAGAATATGCATTTCCTCTCTGTCGTTACTTACTTTCTTCTCTCTGTCTCAAATCGATGGAGCAGTTTCCGGAGACCGCCGTTCTTAAATCCCTGAAAATGGGCAGCTGGGGCTCCCACTGTAATGACATCATACAGAGCATCTGGAATGGACAAGGTGATGAACATTTAGCAAGCGTTATCTCCTGCATGCTGTCTGCACTGAAGCACACATACTGGAGCAAGTTGAAGAAATTATTCTGTTTAAATTGGTAAGAATAACTACTAAGTCTCATCTCTAGGGGGTAAGAAGAGCTAATCGATCTTCCTAAAAGCCACCTGTGCACCTAAACAAGTTATAATATTTTTCTGATTTATGACTACATCTTAATTATATGCCACAGTGTAGAACAGTAAGTTTTCCCAGCCCTCTCTCTACTTACTGAGATAACACGTTAATTGGTCTTTTGTGTATTTTACGTTATTGAGTTTTGCATCATTTAATTTGCGATCATATTGAAATTCAACAATAATGAACAACACTTCAACCATGTTTTACAGAGAGAAGAATCAAAATAATGAGTTTGGCTCAAGGGCAGAACAATACCAGAGCATTTTTAAAAAATACATGTACATCATTTCCTGCTTGTGTCTGTCTTACACAATTTCAAGTGCATACTTTTGCAAGTTCTTCACAGGATAGGAGAAAATGTCTCTTAATTTATCTTCT